TCCAATGAAATTAGAAAAATGTTCATCGCGAAAATGCTTTGGACAAAATACAGACCTTCTTGAAGAACGAAATTTGATTAATTCTTATTGGCACATTTAATGTAAATATTGTATAATACGAAAAGAATTACCATGAAATATTTTAACGATATTGTGTAAATATTTGAAATATATATTAGTGTACATATATTTTTGAGTGATATTATTGTTTCGTGTATATATTTCAAATTAACAAAATTGTTTTAATGTTAGTGCAAACCGTTACTTGTTTATGATTCAACGTTTATTCTTAATTGCTTGTCATAAATGATAGTGTATTGAATGGGGTCAACCTAGACTAGCTATTTCTACTTGTTGGCTCCATTTACCGATTGTATAAATTATGTCAGCTGACAAACAATGTAACTTAAATTTAGGTAATAAATAAATAAATAAATGAAAAATGGTGTGAATGAGATAATTGAACAGACAAAATCAGAAGAGCATTAATTGTTCTTCTTTTTTAGCGAGGGTTTAAAACGGAAAATAATATTATGATATTAATGCGTTTGCCCCTCCCCCCCCCCCCCCCCCCCCCCCCCCCCCCCCCCCCCCCCCCCCCCCCCCCCCCACCTCTCCACTAAAAAAAAAAAAAAAATTAACAAATACCCAAACAAACCTGTAGAGGAATCGACGACTTTGCATGTAAACTCTAATGATCAAAATTACAATAAATTACGACAATAAATATTTGTATATACGTATATATGTATATAGAAAAAAAAGTTATAAATCAGCTAATTTTTTTCCCTCAACTTACTTTGAATTGTATAATTATATACCTTTAAAAGAAAAAAACGTTATTCATCAGGTAATTTTTTTCTCCCTCAAATTAAACAATATCTGTAATATTGATGTGATTTGCAAGTTTAATGTTGAACTCAAAGTTCTTCATAGACATATACGTACAAATATATTAAAACGCGTGAACGTCAAGTAAATCGAGGCCTACCAAAATTACCATTTTTCTCTTGCCGTTAGTCTTTTGAACCAAATGTGTATATTCATTGTAGGCATATATTACTAAATGTGATTAAATTTCGTCATTCATACATTTATTCACTTCATATGATAAATCTGGAATAAAAGAGCAGCGCCTGAGATAATTATTATTTGTCATTCCGGATTATTGTATTCTAGAACATCATTAAACTGATATCAGAACCTACCGTTAATAATTTGATTTGATTTGATTTATTTATTTCTGTTTGATTTTCTTTTTCCTTTGCATTTTTACAAATATATAACAAACAAACATTGCAAATTTACACATGACAAAAGGATATATGTAGAATAACGTAAGGCTGGCTGTAACTAATCGAAAACATCAAACAGGAGGGTTGACAAAGTAAGCATAGCTTGATAGCATGACTACCCTCAAAGGATACATAATAATACAAATATGGAGGAAAAAAATATTGGTAAAAGGGAAAAAAGATAGAAAAAAGAAAAAAAGAAGAAAGAGAGGATGCACATCAAGATTCACAGATGTATGTGGTAGTTGGATTTCAATTTGATATATAAAGATAAAAAGTGGCCAACTTGGGATATAATAGAATGAGAAGACTCGCGAGGTTCGGACAATATGAATGTGAGATCAGCGAGCTGGTTTTAAACCTGGGCCTGCGAGTCGGAGCCTTGAAAATGTTTGTATACAAAACAGTGTTTAGTCAGTATCCCCAATAAGCCACTCTTTATTCATACGTTTATTCATAACAGGTCTTGGAAGGTTATAATCAACGTTTCAATGAATTATATAGCATACTAATGATCAAAGAGTATACACACCTAACGTGTTTATGTGAGAATTGTTGTTCAAAATGATCCCCTGGTACAAGTATCGCATAAATCAAATTGAACATAAACCAAATACTTAAAAGGTAAAATAATTTTTCTCATGTTTTTCTTTTCTTTTTATTAATCTTTTTGTTTTTTTAATTGAAATATGCTACTACTTTTAGCCTCTTTAGATAACATTTGCTTTGAGGATGAAACTTTACCCAGCAAGGTCACTAAGTGCACCAATTTTGTTATGATCCTGGATCATTTCGTTCCTTATATAGACAATCAAACATATCGTTCTATCAACTGATCCATTACAGGAGATTTGGGTTTTTCAGTTGTGCAGGACTTTCACCATACTGATCGACGATCTCATAATAACATTTTCTCTTTTTTTTTCGGTTTTCCACATTGTATAAAATATCGATCGTAATAGAATATGAAACTAGAATCTAGATTGAAAGAAAAATTATGTGTGGTCTACAATCGAAATGATAGACTGAGAAAAAGAGAAAGAGAGGTAAAGAGAGAAGGAGAGTCTTTTAGTGAGGTTAATATTTTAAAGTGAACATAATTCCTTTTTAAAGTAAAGATCTATAGGTCAAGCCCATTCAAATTGCTTGGTCCGTTAAGTGTAGAAAATTTATACGTCGGAAAGCTTTTTCATACTTTTTCATGGTAAATGTTCTATGCATTGATTGTTACTACCGGTAAATATTTTTTTGCAGCCCCCTATACACGCTCAGTTGCATAGAAATTCGTCTCAGAAACATACAATGAAAAAGGCATTTAGCAAACAATCCGACTTTGAGAGAAGATGATAATTTTTAAGAAATTTGTAAAAATTGCGTGAATGAATGGAGCAGAGAAAGTGAGGGGAAGGGAAGGATAACCACATTCAGAATGAGAAAAATGATGAATGAACGGGCGGATGAAGGGAGAAATGTGAAAGTAAAAAGTCAAAATTGTATGACGCTATAATCAAAGTAAAAGCAAATTGATTTAACTAAAAGCTTCAGCACAGTGGCTGAAGCAGTTATAGGGGGCACAGGGCACGTATCCCCCCATAAAAACCAAAATGTGGCATATATAGTCAAACCTGCTTTAGTGACCACCTGTCTACAAAGACCTCATTTTTGTGTTTCCCTCGGGCAGTCGCTATAGACACGTTTGACTGTACCTGTGAATACTATCCACCGAAAATGAAAACCCTCCCATCCTGCAAAAGAATCCTGGATCTGCTGCTGGGGCCTCGCTACAAGTAGGCTTAGTTTCAAACCCAGTGTAGGAGAAGTTATAAAGTCGGATATCAATTTAATATACTTTTGAAAAGTTCAACGCAAAAAGGACAAAAGAAACCAATTCCTAACTCAGTTTCTGGAGCTTCGTTCAATAGAAAGTTTGCGATTAAACACAACTTGGAACAGCCATCGCTTTCAGCCAATCGAAATCACGTAATTTGTTGAGTTCATTACTTCAACACTTTTTATGCAGAGCGCCCTTCACTCAATAAAAAACTTACGTGATAAATGAAGCAGATACATCATCTAATCACAGGAGGAGAACCAACAAAAGTGAGTTTCGTATAAATTAAAAAATAGTAGAGAAGAGAGAGAGAGAGAGAGAGAGAGAGAGAGAGAGATAGAGAGATAGCGAGAGAGAGCGAAAGAGAGAGCGTGAAAAAGGAAAGGTAAAAATGGGTTACAAAATTGAATTTTGCCTGTGGAAGAAAAATTCTTTTCTTCAAAATTTTCGTCAATGAAAGAAAAACGTATTCGACCCTTTGTCTGTAATTTGCCCATGAACGGAGGCATTGCCCTCATTGAGAGTGAAGGGGCACGGATCTATAAGGATAGAATAACTTCGAGGAACCAAAGCGACTAAGAGAGGGGCCTTTTCGTATAGTCCTCATGTCCCATTTACCTAGTCCCTTGCCCTTAAGCCTTTGTGCCCTGGACTAACTACATTGCAATTTTTATCTTTATTTATAAAAAGTTTGAATCTCTTGGCCACGGAGGGGAGGGAGGGGGTGGTGTGTGGGTGTGGGATACATTGGATTCATCGTTTATACTTTTATGGATACGCTGACTGTAATGAAGAGTCAATTATGCTTATGAAATGTGCATTTCTCTTCAATTAAATGAAAAGGTCGCTCGGCGGCCAAGCTATATACACTGTCGCTCATATAGTTGGAATATTTTGTGTTAACCCTAATTTATGGAATTATTTTGACAATAATAGTATACATTCTCAGATTTTATTGAATAATAATTTGCCAGTTTTTGTTTTGCGTGACTGCTAAAGCATATGCTTATCAACGAGGGGACCTACGCCCTTATGTCATAAATAGCAGTAATGTGGACTAATACCCCCACAAAAGGACACTAATATAGCACATCGACATAAAAAAATAATTGATTGCATTTTCTTTTTTCTTTTTTTATTGTGGGAACTGCCCCCTACCCTAGCCCCCGCTTGAGGTAAAGAAAAAATATATATATATATTCCAACTATATGAGCGACAGTGTAACTAATACAAAAATATCACTCGGCAGTTGTTTTTGTTTGTTTTGGTTGTTGTTGTTGTTGTTTGATTGTTTTTCTTGTAACCCAGTTGCCTGATTAAACGGCAAATCCAATATTTAAAACAATGCGCCATTCAGGTGAGATCATGTCCCTTAAAAATTGTGCCCTTTGTTTTATTTTTTGAGCAAGGCATATCTGATTTTTAAAAAAAATTCTTTTTCTCTTTTTTCGTGAAGATTTGGTTGTCTTTAAACTGTAATAATATTTGCATTCATCTTTCCATTACATCATATGTTTTTATTCATTTCATGCCCATGAGCGTTCAAGAAATAAAATGCATTGTCATTGTCATTGGGTGCACACAACCCCCCCCCCCCCCCCCCATCCCCCATGAGGTAACCTAGGAGAAACAAAATATAAAATACAACTTCTGGATACGCCATTGGGGGAACTGTTCCTTTGTATACTCCTTATCTCCCTCAAGCCGACTGCACTGCGTTATTTTTATTACATTATTTTCTATTATTTGTATACCTTTTTTCTTCTTGGTAACAGCCAAAGTTTGCGAAATGTGATGTAAATAGACTCAAGATGGCGTACTTCCAGAAATGGGAAAGCAAGAAGTCGAGTCGGAAATGCTGACTTCGACAACGTACAACCAACACACAAACGTACACATGCACCGTACGTCAAAGACGTGCATATTTACATACAAACTAGCGGGGCCTTCTCGGTGACCTGCGCCAGCGCCCACCGGACAGAGTTCACCCATCGACAGTGTATAATATAAAGTGTACTGCTGTTGAAGTGAATAATTCTAACCAAAATGGCAGCCCCACTCGCTGTGTTCGAAGAAAACGGCGACGCGGGAAGCGACGAATGGCCTGAATTCATAGATTTTCGTAGTTCAGCAGACGTCATAAATTCCAATGGAGAAGCTTTACCAGTTTTGTCACAGAGAGAGGAAATTAGCCCGGATAACTTCAACGAAATGCGTTCATCATCCATCGAAGACTTGGTCAACAATTTCGATGACAAGCTGGCCGTATGCTTCCGTAATTACAACATGAATACGGAGCCACTAGCACCCGTTAAAATACTCTCGCAAGAGGAGATGATGAAAAATTGCAAGTAAGTCAAGATGATAACATATAACATTGAGATTTTAGGGGGTTCTGTCAGTTCTAAAAAAATATTTGTGTATGATTTGATGGTTGTTGTGCTTGGAAATGGGGAAATGTATGTGACTAGACTGTAGACTGGGAATGAGTGGATCATAAATCATAGTCTCATATTTCTTGTACTTAAATGGCATCCTTCAATCTATTAAACTACGTACCCTGCCCCCCCCCCCCCCACTCAGTGTTTTTTAGGGTACGCATATGCTTGTTCCCTCTTTTTGAAAGCACCCCCTATCTGAGGACTGCCAACATTTCTGAACCCCCCTTTCGCGGGCTTTTCGCGGGCTTTTCGCGGGCTTTTCCTGCCTTGGGGACCCCCCTAAATCAGGAAAAATGCTCAATGTACCCCCCTAAATTCGGAATAACTTCTCAGGAGTCCAAAGAGATTAGAGAAAAAAAAGGAAAAACACCCCCTTTTTAAAGAAATCTCCGGGTGAAAAGTCAAATACACCCCTTTTTTTACAATTCTCGGCCCGGACTTTGTCGCACGAAAAGTACCCCTTTACCGGACATTTTGGCAACACGCATGCGGTCATTCCGACCCCTGAGTGGGGGGGCTGGGACTACGTATAAGTGGATAGAATGTGTGTGTTTGTAGGTATACATGCATGTGGTTGTATTTGGTTAGTTGGAATACGTCTGATATTTAAGATCGAATTTGATAATTTCTGCTGCTAGAGTGTTGCAACATAGTTGTAACATTAGAAGTGATCTGTTCAGAATCAGAAGGGCTTTAACACTGTTTTATGAGCATGCGTTATGATCGCCCTTCTGGCTCCAAACAGATGATAATATATTACCTTTGGCTAAAGTTGCAGACAAAATATTAAAGAAACGGATGATATCATGACAGTTGTTAAAGACAAGCTATAAAAGTATCAGACTTGTCAGAAAACATACCATATACTGATGGGCAACAAGGGGCATTAAACAAAAAGGTTAACTGGCAAGAGGGATATGGATGGACCCACCACAAGGATGGATGAACCCCCCCCCCCCCTCGTTCTCCCCCAGAAGAAGGAGGATCTTCAAATTATCTTGCGCACAGGGTTGAAAGTAACTTTCAAAGTTACCAACAACATTATGAATGGTGTGGTGGGGGTGGATATCGACCACACCCACTCTGCATTACCCCTGTAGGCAAGATCAATACATGTTGGACATAATCATAACCCTCCAACCTTTTTTTCTCCCTGAAACCAGCAACAAATTATCAAGGGGATCGCACCAAAACAGGTAGAGGGATTCATATCTACATGTACATTAACAGAGGTGTAGTGAATTCACAGCGTCTTTAATTAGTATCATCCGGTATCATCTAGAACATGTGTTAAACTCTATACTCTAAAATATACTTGAACAGAGTGTAAGGCGCTTCTGGCGCAGTAGACAGAACATGTAGCTTCTCACTTTCTAATGTAGAAAAGAATTGGTTTGCCATGTGGGAGAAAATGAGAATATATTTGAAGTAATACTTTGGACTTTTGTCCTCGGAGAGGGGCAATGTACGGAGAAAGAGAATTGAATGAGAGGGGGGTATTGTCAATATCCTGAACTGGTCAAATCCCAAACTTTACTTTCAATTTACTATCCTATTAATATATTCCATTTCTCAAGAACTTTTGCATCAAGTAGCAATACGCTGTATTTATACCCTTGATATGGATTATAATTCTTTTCTTTGCAGTATAGTCACTGTGACCAGTTTTAGAAAAGCAGTGATTATGCACATTAAATTGGAACTTTTAGAAGTTTGTGAGATTGCAAATAAACATAATCTTGCTAATCTCACAATGCAAGTATTCACACCACAAAAATATTACCGCTAACTGAAACCTGATGCAATCGGAACTAGTTTAGATGCCGACAGTTATTTTTCAGATGGTTACCCCCCCCCCCTGTTAATGCCTCTGCCGATATCACGATATCTCAATATGGATCACCATAGGAATGAGGAAGATGATCAGAATAGGTTTTGGAGGACCTAGGTCAAAGGTCATAGAGGTAAATTTCTGAAACTGCAAGTAATAGCCTTTGTATTGCGGTATCGCAAAAACAACTAGAGGTGTAAGCTTCAAACAAGACACTAGTTTGTATCACCATATAAAGACGACCTGTTCAGATTTTAGGTCTAGGGTAAGAAGGGTCAAAATGTCCAAAGTCTTAGTTTCTTAGAGGGCAATTTGTGAAAATAGAGCTATTAGCATTGTTCTCAAAATACTGTACAAGTAGAAATATATTCGCGGTACATTCGAATATGTTTTGGGGTCGCTCAGCGCAAAAACTTAATCACGTGAAAATAACAGCGTTTACAGTATGTCAAGTACTTCTTGAGGTGTGAGCTTTAAACATGGTTATACTATAGGAAGACGATCCAATTAGATTTGTTAGTAAGTAGGTTAAAGGTCAAAGATCATAGTCAGGACATGTAATTATAGGCTTTTTGTTTTCATAATGATATAAATTTATTTAAAGAATAATGTTATTCATTTCCTTAATTGAATTTAGGGCGGAGGACGGAGGCATATAGGATACGCAGTCGCGTTTTTCTTGTTTATGTGTACAACACAGGATGATTTTAAGAGAAAATATCTAAACCATAGCAATTGGAGACTGGAAAGGCATTCTGTATTCTTGATCAATAGTTTTGAATGTGCACAATCACATTCAAGTAAATAAGAAAGAAAGAATGAATATGAAATCCTGTTGCAGAAAAAATTGCTCATGGGTGTATTTTATTGAGAACAAAATTGTGTGGCACTGTCCTTGAGTGCAGAATTAAGATGCAAGTGTGATCATTGAAAATGACAAAAATAACCAAAAAAGGCATTTTAAAGTAAAAGATCAGGAACAAACACTTGCTCCCTGAGAAAAACACTTGTTTAAGAGGCTATACAGGCATTACAGGGTAATTCTTGAGCTGAACTAAAATAAATATTCAGCAGAAATCTTAAATTGATAAATTTACCTGTTTTTATTTTAAATTCATGTGAGATCTTTGCAGAAGTTTTAAAAAATGGGGTGATAAGAAACAAAGAAAGGAATAGGAACAAAATATTTTCTCTGGATATTAAATTTTTTCTGGATATTAAATTTTTTCATTAAGAAAGGAGACTTTTAAGTGATTTATAATATTTCATTTTATTTGCATCATAGAAAAAAAGTAACATGACTTTTATTTTGTTCAACATCTGAATAGAGAAAAGGGAGAAAAGTCACAAGTTTCAAAAGAAATAAAACTCATCAGTGCATTTGAGAAAGAAGATTAGTTTGTTGAGTGATTTTTCTCTTGAAAGCGAAGTGACGCCAATGCATACACCAGTCTTTGTTGAAGTTTGCAGCAGCCTACAGGCTTGCCTTTCTGACATTTATTTTGGAGGTCTCAGATGAACAATCTAATTAATTATTTATTGATTGCACTATGAGAGCATTCACGTCGCCCTACGGTGAGCCAGAAAACCTCATCTAAATTCCACCTGGAGTTGAATAGTAAATGTTTAATGTTACTGACAGGAAGCTGATATACAATGTGTACATATTACTGGTACATGTATGTTAATTTACAGTTTTATTAATTCTATTTAACTTTGTGTGATATCATCGATATAACGTCTTAGGCTCTTGTTTGTATTGTTACTGCGTGTACCTGTAACTACTGCTCTTAATTACGTGAGTCATCAATCATGTACCACAAACTCACAATATTGGTAGACTGAAACCTCATCTCTTTGTCTTTTATCAGAGATGGAAATGAGAGACAGATTAAAGGCAAAATCATACAAGGAGCAACGTGATTAAAACATGCTGTCAAAGTTCCTTTCTTATTCCCAGACTTGTGATCTCTATAAAAAAGAATTAAAGGTCATAATTTACATATTCCCAGAATGTAAATAAAACGTGCAGATACTCAGATACATGTTCATCCTCCAAAAATGCATTTAGCTGTGAGCGTCACTTTAACCCTATTTCCCACACTATTACTCTCAGGCACATGTACGAGGTTTGTGAGCGTGCATACAGATATATTGCCTGCTGAAGACAAACATCTACAATTCCCACTAATTACATGTATTTGGTGTCTGTATTTGCACTATAAAGTTTCATTAGTCTGGATGCTCTAGATGTCTGCTTTTCACTGTGTAATGTCTCTCTTTCATTCCTATCGGTAATGGATGTATTTTGTTACCTCTTTTTTGTCTCTCACCCACTTGAAATTCTGCCGCCCCCCCTCACTTTCCCCAGCTGATAATCCATAATCTTACCTGTACATGTTTATTTTTCATACATTTCTATTACACCGCTCCCACACAACCCTCACCCACAACAAATCTACCCACACCACCTATCTCTCACACATGTACACTCTCTCCTTTCATTTCTGTCATTCTCTCTCGCTCTCTCTGTCTCTCTGTCTGTCTGTCTCTCTCTCTCTCTCTCTCTCTCTCTCACACACACTCTCACTCTCGTCTACATGTATGTTTATCTGTCTTTGTTTATCTCTCCCTTTTTCTTTCCTATCATAGTACAACTTCATCTTATCCATGTATTCAACAAATTGGCATGCATATATATGTCTGTAATCCTGTATACATAATTTATGTAATACATTTTTCACCTAGGTACATGTATACTGTAAGTTTGCCCCAGTGTCTGCGTGTAGATGTAATTCCATTTTTGTGATATGAATTATGTACATGTAAACAACCTGTAAGTGCACACAGGACCTATTGATTGTTCTAGTCAACAGTACACTGTCATCGAACCGGGTAACTCTATGTAAAATGACACAACTTAGGCCCTTCTGCCTCTCGGCTGACAAAGAAATTAATTTGCCTGTTTTGTATATATGACAATATTAGTACTATTGTTAACATAAATCCTCCAATCCATCAAAACACTGTATATCATATAGGACTATGAATATTATGGTGTTATTTCAAAGTGAAAAGA